ACTTATAAGTGAAAATATATGGTACCTGTCCTTCTCTGCCTGACATTTCACTCAGCATAACACCTTCGAGTTCCATCCACGTTGCTACAAATGGCCAGATTTCATTCTTTCTCATTGCCATGTAGTATTGTATAGATAAACCACATCTTCTTGATCCATTCATCAGTTGATGGACATTTAGGCTCTTTCCACGATTTGGCTATTGTTGAAAGGAGTGCTGCTATGAACATTGGGGTATGTATCCCTATGCATCAGCACTCCTGTATCCCTTAGGTAAATTCTTAGCAGTGATATTGCTGGGTCATAGGGGAGTTCTATTGTTAATTTTCTGAGGAATCTCCACACTGTTTTCCAGAGTTCTGCACCAGTTTACATTTCCACGAACAGTGTAGGAGGGTGCCCGTTTTTCTACATCCTCGCCATCCTACAGTCTCCTGATTTGTTCATTTTAGCCACTCTGACTGGCGTGAGGTGATATCTCAGTGTGGTTTTGGTTGGTATTTCCCTGATGATGAGGGACACTGAGCATCATTTCATGTGTCTGCTGGCCATCTGGATGTCCTCTTTGGAGAAGTGTCTGTTCATGTCTTCTGCCCGTTTCTTTACTGAATTATTTGGTATTATTTTCAGTTGACAGAAATTGAAAAATGGAAGTGATGACATCAAAGTACAGCTCATAATCTTAATGTAATTGAGACAAAGTGAAAACCTTGAAACATACTAAAAGCCGTGGGTCTTCTTGACTCAGACTTCCTCTCTCAGCTGTGCAGGCAAAGGACACACAGGGATAGTTTATAGTTGGTGTTCAAAGATGGCATGTATCATGCAATAGAATTTTAAATTTACTGGGGATAATGTTCTTTATATAAACTTTGAGTTTATTCCTTGAATTTTCAAACTTTTGACTGTTAAACATATCTTTAGGAATATTTCACTTATAAAAGCAGGACTGCCTACTAAATTCTACCCTATTCTGCAATGGGTTAAATATCATTACTGTTAGTATTTATTATCTTCCTTTACATATTGTATTTACAATGTGTCATATATATAAGAATACTGTATGTATATATATGATCTCTGTGTATATATTATATATGTATACATTATGTATATATATATCATATATGTATACATATGTGTGTGTGTATATATATATATATATAATTACAAATTTCTCTACCTTCTTTGATCTTCAGGAAGAGCTACACAACCTGAATAGCCTTTTAAAAAGTTGAATATACAGTATGTCATACTTTAAGGCAGAAGAGATGATACAGAGGTAGTAGAGTATAAGATTCTGTCTGCCTGAATCTGAATGCTGCATCTGCCTTCCAACAGCATTGTAAATGTGGTCAACCTCCTTACTGCTTCCTAGCCTTGGTTTGTTTATCTTCCAAACGGAAATGTTAATAACACCTCCATAATATGGTTATTAATTAAATGCATGAGTGTTCAAGGGCTGAGCATAGAGTGGGGTACAAATTAAACTCTCAACCAACATTACGTAAAGTACAGATACGACAGCATGCTGTCCTGAGCACTGAAATAATAAATCAAAATCCTTTTCTGTAGCATTTCCTAGTCCTCTATCCATCACTTCTCTACTTCTCCATCTTTTTTTTTTAATTTCTACTTTCAGCAGCCTCAAAGTGTGACTATTTGTAAAGAAAGGACATATTGAATGGTAGACACTTTTTCTGTCAATTGGCTGCCATCTTTCTCTGTTTTTTTTATCATAAGCATAAATTGCAGCCTTAGAGACTATATGCACTCTCTCTCTCAGTCAGAAAACAAAAAAGAAACAATGACACCTCCAAAAAAGTATCTACTAAGGAGTAATATTGCAGAAATCCTTAGCCAGTCATGTTTCTCACTGACCCTACCACTTTTCTTTAGAAATAGGAATGGAATTTTCAGGTTACAGAGGGCTATGGAAGTGGAGCTAAATATTGGTTAAATTCTCTCTCAGGACAAATAAAGTTTATTGAGAAAAATATGAAAAGTTGTGAGTAGATATTGGGGGTTATGCAAATGGGATTCAGTCACTCTGGCTTCTCTGCCCTTGGTCTATTTCCATTAACTAGGTTTGAGCTCTCAGTTCTGAATACTCAAATTCCCTCCCACAAGTATGTGCAAACCCTCAGGCCTCAAAATTTGGTCAGTTCATGAAAAAAAAAGTTCACTCCCTAAGCAGTCATGAATTTAGCCAACTTGCTAGAAGGTTTTGTGGCTCAGGGAGAGGTTTTGAAGTGCTGCACCCTTCTTGATCCCTCTGTAACAGCGCTGCTGGTGTAGCGATCTCATGCAAGATTCCCCTTCTTGATCCCTCTGCCCACCCCTCCTTTCCCGTTTCTTGCCTTTCTGTCCCAGTGGCACACAGACCTCTTTCCTTCCACTGTGTCATCTCTATGCTTACCTTTTGTACTATGAGAAGGCTCTCATGTCCTAGTTTTCACCATGAAAGGGTTTTCTCTGTTATTTCTTCCATAGGGAGAAGAGTAGTAATACATGTTTTTACCTTATTCTTCAAGTAAGTTGGGAAAAGAGCTTCTCATTCTGGCAGTATTATGCCATAATCAGAAGACAGGACAAGTATACTGGATACCCTTTTATAGATTCTTCCAGCATCATGTTCCCCTTCCAGTAATGCCCATGAAACACACTACACAATGTCACAATGAGTGTGAGTCCATAAACAATCTGGACATATTTGTGTTCCCGTTTGTATGGGTAACATTGAGAATAAGAAAAACAAAATAGTAATCTCAATTATTGGCCCTTTCAAGTGAATAGGGCCAATACCAAAATATGTAGGAACAATAAAAATTTTGAATATTTCCAGTAGAGATGTTTTTATTTTCTCCATAAAATTCATAATTTTAATAGAACTTCATTCTAATTTTGCCTTGTAGGCATCTTGTATGGATGTTGGGTTGTCAATATGCCATAAAATATGCCAGAATTAAAGTGTGAGGCTGGTTCTTCAGTTGTCTATAAAATCAGATGCTATGGAAAACTATACCAAAGAGCTAGGTGTTGACTTTGGATTATAGAATGTAATTCATTACTTAGAATGGTAACTAAAAGTGTTATGACATTTGGAAAGGACACACTTTCACCATTGGTAAGGGCCTTATAGCATATGTCTTCATGGCACTTGCATACTCTTTGTAGAGAATAATTTACTATTTATCTATGATTGCCAAATATGTTGACATTTTCCCTCACTGCTCTTCTTTTTGAAGTTGAAGAGTAGAACTTTTCTCAACCTGTTGCTTATCCATATGCTAATGAAGGACTACTTTACTACTTCACCTAGGTTAAATGAGACCAGCCCAACAGAACTGGCACATGCCTGGTAATTTACTAATGTTTTGATTAAGATCTGCAGATAGGAACAGAACTTTATCATGTTGCCCAAAATAGCAGAATATTCATATGGAAGGCTATCTTAAGAAAGCTGAGTACTGGGCTTCAAGAAAGGTGGAACATCGAAGGTTGGGAATTCAAGGTAACTTTAGAAATCTCAGGAGGAGGGACACCTGGGTGGCTCAGTCGGTTAAGCATCCAACTTCAGCTCAGGTCATGATCTCATGATTTGTGGGTTTGAGCCTTGCATCCGGCTCTGTGCTGACAGCTAGCTCAGAGCCTGGAGCCTGCTTCGGATTCTGTAATTCCCTCTCTCTCTGACCCTTCCCTGCTCGCTCTCTCTCTCTCTCTCTCTTTCTCTCTCTCTCTCAGAAATTTAAAAAAAAAAAAGAAATCTCAGGAGGAGATATACTTACCTCTTCATTTTTCTGATCCACCATTGAATGACTATAATGAGGGCTGGCAGTTACACAATTCCACATAATCCACAAAAAAATGCTCTTCCCTGAAGTATATAGTATATACCCTGATACCTTGCAAGGCCATGTTCTGCAGCCTTAGTGACCACTGTTTCCTCAACCATCTACTCTCTGCATTTTCTCTACCTCTATTATGCTTTCTCATGCCTCACTCTCCAATTTCAAAATGACATAACAATCCTTTAATTCATGAACTTGCAAAGTCAACTCTATTCTTGCCCTATCTTTAATTCACTTCCATTGAAGAGAATTCCTTTAGCTCCACTCTGCCTTTTAACTCAGGCCACATCATAGATTCTTGATCAAGTAATGGTTCAGTCATCTGTAACTGTGGTTAAGAAGGGGTGGAATTCTAAAGAAAAAGAGTATAAAACATAGTGGCTGAATTGCATTTCAACTGAGGCTTTGTGTAGGTTGGTTTTCCTAACAATGAAGCTGTAGACAGAGTTGGAAAAGAACCTGACATTTCTAGAAGTTATTTATAAATCTATAAGATTTAACTGTTGCATGATGGAGGCTTAACTGTCATTTGGGTCATGATATAAATTCCTTCCATGGCTGCATATGACCTCAAGGAAGGCTGACCCACTCAATTTTCATTCATAATCAATAACCAAATATTTTTTTTAAAAGATAGATGATCTCATGGTGAGAAACTCTGAAGCATTAGGATCCAATGCAACAGACAACTGTAATAAATAGGATAAAGCAGAAGCTTGGCTGAGAGTTCCAAAGTGCAGCCTATGATTCTGTAGGTACATAGACATTCACATGGAAAATCAAAGAATTCAATCTTGATCTAATCAGTGTTGTTACTGCACATAAGTCTTTTCCATGCTATAAAACTGTGCTATAAAAGTTGAAGACAAACTTTTCCTTAGAAACACCTTTCTCTGCCCTTGGTTATCCAAAGTCAACATGAATAATTTTATCAGATTTAAAGTTTTTATGTTGCTTTTCTTGATAAAGCTGGCCTATAGGATACTGAAAAGTTATTCATTCAGTATACATTATGAAATATGTGTAATCAAGTGTACTTGGGGGAAAGGAGGCCCTACATGGGCATTACTCATTATTTAGCTGGAAGCAGGTTTTCTGCTACATTTTCTGATACCATCTTTAACATCTGCCCTCATCTGTGTATTTCAGAATCACCACAACCGCAGCTTGCATGATGGACTTGAGGAGATACCCCTTGGATGAGCAGAACTGCACGCTGGAAATTGAAAGCTGTGGGTATCTGTACTTCTTTTTCATTCACTGTATTTTAGGCCTTGTCATTATTTGGTATCTTTCCCAAGGCATATATCATTTTCTTGCCATAGTTTTTAAATATATTAAATATAGGAGGTTTAATCCTCCACTGTGCTAATTTCACTGTTATGAGAGAGAGAGAGAGAGAGAGAAACAGAGACAGAGACTCAGTATAAAAGAGTTCTCCTGTCTAATAGGATTAAGAGAGTCTGCTTGCTGTGCTGAAATATAAGAAAGCAAGCACTCCTCATCTTGGTCCATTCAGTGAGAAGAGAACAAACACTGAGATGCAATTTTCTCACAATATGCTTCATCACACATGAGTGGATGTACTCCTGGGAAGCTGGGAAGTTGGAGTAAAACTCATTTTCCATCAGGAACTCAGCTTTACAAGCAAGTTATTCTTGCATTTTGGCAATTTTCTAAATTTTAAGGGATTCAGATACCTTATTGATAATTCAGTGCTGAATACTTCTTTGTGAGGGATGAAAACTGCAACTTTATTATCTAACAAACAAGTGTCCCTCCTGCTACCTGAACTACATCTCCTGGCATATCCAGATGTTGCTGTTGCTGTTGCTGTTGTTACTTATCCTGGTCTATCATAGATTGGATTATAATTAGTCTCAGTTAGATTTAGTCTTGTCAGATTTCTTTCGGGGGAAGACAAATGACTACAGTGTTACTGATGCATTTGTTGTAAGAAGTGAGTGTCTTTGTGATGAACCATACTACGAAGTTGTGCTGAGTGTACACATGTTTTCATCCTGTATAGAGCTGGCTCCACTGTGCTCCTCACTTCCACACTACATCACTGTCAAGTATTCTGAGAGCCATGCTTTCAGAAAGGGAAATCATGGCAAGTGATCCATAATGGAATCATCTGGGGAGATTTAGTATGGAGGACAGAAAGCTTAGCAGAAAGATGATTTCCCAGTAGTTGAAGGGCTATTTTAGAAGTCGAGTGGATTTTTTGTGGCCAGAAGGCACAACTCCTAGTGAGGTGATGGAAATTTCAGGAAGGCAAATTTGGGACCGAAGTAAGGAAGCAGCTACTACTCCAAATCTCTGAACACATACTGAGTAGCCTCAGAGAGTGCAGACTCTGTTACTGTGATGTTTGAACTGAAGGGGAGAATGGGCAGAAAGGTCTGTCATCAAAGAGATTTCCTCACAAAATGAGGAATCCTTCACTTCAGAGCCATTAGAGAAAACCCATAATTAAAGCATTTGAGAGGAAGAAGGGACTTTCTGGTGACCTGACTACACACATATACAAATGTTTTATTTAAGTCAAGATGGAAATGTGAAGTGTGAGCCCCCACACAAGGGGGAGGGGCACACTACTGGGCACAGTATGCTGTCTGAGCTGCAGCCAGAAGACCAGTGGTATTGGGCTGGGTGAGAGAGAGAGAGAGGATGTACTCACAATACATACAGGGGCTAGTTCTGTAGATTCTTAACATCCTTGTAAGGAGCTTGGATTTGTTTCACTAATTGTATTGGGAAACATCTGAGGGATTTAAGCAGAAGAGTGGCTCAATAAGATGTGTGTGTTATGAACAATTGTAATGGCTGCCAGATGTGAAAAGAATGTAAAAAAGTAAGAGAGAAGGGAGAAGCCAAAAGTTGTAATCACTATGTTCCAAGGAGAGAAGGTAGCAGATGGGACAAGGGAGATGACATTTGCCATGGAAAGCAGTCATCCCTATAGCTTTGGTCTATTTGTCAAATATTGAGTGTCTGCCTTATGTTGTATTACTCACTCGAGTAAAAAAAGTCTGTTATACTGATAGGGTTTTTTCTCTAGGTCTGAGTTTTAATCAGCTCTCCTAATAAAGTTAACTTAATCCTTTAGAAGTCTCTTGGGTGGTACCAGAAACATCAGACTTGATTGTCCTATCTCCTCATTCTGCAGAAGCATTGATTGATCGATTACAAGGAGCAATGTACATTATGCTAAGAGCTGGACTTGAAGCTATATTCCAGCTAATAAATACTTTCTTTTCTAAGGGCCAAGAGTATCCCAACCAAGTGCATTTCTAAAGATGGCAGACCTCATAGCCAGGAACACCTGATAAAGGCATCCAAAAATGCCAAGGAGGACCCTACTTTGCCCTGAGAGTTTCTGATGCTGCCAGACTTTAACTGGTTACATTCACCCTCAGTATTTTAACTTTATCATAGCTTTTGAGAGAAGTGGTCTTTCCAGAATTCCTTATACTTGAGTTTTCTTTTTTTTTTCTTACAACCACTTTCTTTAATGCTGTTAATATATATTTCAAATTCATTTCCATGTAACATGCAGTCCAACTCTATGATTAGGCTTTGCAAACAGAATTCTGGTGAGATCATTCAGCCTCCCCAGATCCTCTACTTCTCAGCACCAGTGTGATACAAATAAAACAGCAGAGGTAGTAACCAAAAATATTCATATGTTAGTTCTTTGATGATGCTTTTTCTCATAGATAAGCACATGAAACAAATCTACTTCAAATACAGGCAAGCTGTTATTGCATGTTATTAGTTGCAGTTTCTTTAGGCCTACATGTAAACAAAATGATGATTCTTCATTTCTGCCATGTCCCCACTTCTCTCTCCTGGCAGACGGCTATACCACAGATGACATTGAATTTTACTGGCGCGGCGGCGATAAGGCTGTCACTGGAGTGGAGAGGATTGAGCTCCCGCAGTTCTCTATTGTGGAGCATCGTCTGGTCTCGAGGAATGTCGTCTTTGCCACAGGTGAGTCCTGTGTCACTCACTGGCAGCCTAGGCAGTGTTGGTCTCCTATTGAAACAGTGCAACTGGCTCATAGAACTGGGTCATTCAAAGCTGTACTATCATCAGTATTTCATCATCTTCGGTGTTCCTTTTCTCTGTAGGTAAAGGGATTGGTAACCTTTGACGGGAAGGAAAGATCATCTCACAAGGAGTTGCACTCAGGAGAGGGTTACTGAGAGTTAAAAGACTAGGGTGAATTTAACCAACTCATATTTGGTAACATAAAGAACTCTCATTTCTGGACAGAGGCAAGTCCACTGATAACCTTAGAGGCAGACAGGAAGGGAGAAAGAAGAAGGAGAAAGATCTGAGGAAGTAGTGCTATTCCCCTCCTCACTTCTTGGGGTAGCAGTCAGCCTTGGTGGTCCAAGAAATTGGGCCACCCTAAGTTAGTGATGACTCTTGAAATATAATCATCTTCTCTTGATACTATCCAGTTAAGGTTGCCCCAGCCTGGGTTTCACTGTCATCTGTTTCAACTCTGATTAAGAAGATAATTTCTGGTCTCCTGTCTGTCCTTGATGAGGTTGCATTAAATTAAAACTATGCGTATTTTAACATTGTGCAGTGCTTTCTTGTTATTTTTGCATTCCTTCTAAAGTTGATATACTGTAATTGAAATAATAAACAAAAGTGCTTTGTAATCTGGAAGGTTTTATAAAGACCACAAACTCTGGGTTGAAAATGCTAAATGAAGACAGAGCTGGGCCTTCCACCTTGCTTTTCTCTTGTCAGTATAGCTTGAACAGTGACAAGTGGGTGGCAATTAGCTCCAGTTTTGTGAGAGCATTTATAAAGCCCAAGGAAGTCCTGCTCTTTCTGCCTGTTGCTTCTTGCTGGAATGTCTATGACCAGCAGCCACCAGCCTCTCCTTTGTCTGGTCACCTCTGACTCATTCTTTTTTTTTTTTTTTTTTTTTACAAATAGTTTATTGCCAAATTAGTTTCCACATAACACCCAGTGCTCATCCCCACAAGTGTCCTCCTCCATGCCCATCCCCCCACCCCCCCACATCCATCAGTCCTCAGTTTTTGTCAACATTCAAGCACCTCTGACTCATTCTTTAGCTTAATCTAGATGCCACCTCCTCTGGGAAGGCTTTTTGACTCCGCTCTGCTTACACACCTATATGCTTCCTTCCCAAGCTGGATTAAGTGGCTGCTCTGTGTTCCCACAATACTGCACTGACCTTCTAGCTCTGCTTTGCCTCTGACCTCAAGGATACATCTCCATTAAGAGGGGCCTATTCTGGTCATGGTTTACCCCCAACACCATCCCCACCTTGTATAATGCCTGACATGTCCTAGGCATGCAGCAATAGTCTCTGGATAAATGAACAATGAGTCAAGCACCAACTTCCCTCCTCTCTACCCCAGCTTGTAAGAACCAATAGGGAATGCAAATTTTAGACAAAATACTGAATGTTTAAAATACCAATATGGTTCCATTTTTATGCAGTGCCACTTTATCCTCTGTTGCAAGAGGTGCTACAGATATCCCTGTAGTCTCTGGAGGTACTTGCCTCAGATTGGCAGTAAGAGCCATCAAGTACATTGGCTTATTGTTAAGTAATGGTATCTACAGCCAAGAAATCTGCCCTGTGATGCATTGGATACAATGATTTACTGATTTTAGAACCAGGATTCAAATTATTCCATGCTACAGGTGATACGAGCAGAAGGTCCTCTCAGAACATAAGGGTAGTATTCTATCAATGAAAAAATCTGCCCAAGCCTGTCTTGGTCTTGATAATCGCCATTGTGGCCAGTATGCTTCTTTAAGAATCTTTTACTGCATTTTCATGCAGCCTCATCAGAAAGATGTATGCAGTGCTTCCACAGGGAAATGCAACCATTTAGAATGGCCTTCCTGAATCTTCTACCTCAAAACCACTAAGGGGCCATTTTTTTTCTAGATGCAATCTTTGTCTTTCTTTGAAGTATTTATATGGTAAGAAAGTATCCCAAATAGATACTTCTGATGTGGGGGATAATATTTAAACTATGCATAGAGCACTCAGCCCATCAATATGAAGTACAATGTCTTATTTCTAACACTTACTAAGTTCTGGCGTTCACAAGATATAAGACAAGGGCTCTGTATCAGTCAGTTACAAACCTAGCAACCTTCAAAGAGCTTGCACTTTATATTGTTTGTCAACTATATTTCAATAATAAGTTTTTAAAATAGAGATTGCAGTTTAAAATTATCCTAATTGGCCTATTCATAAAGAAGTAGCATAAGCTACATTGTTTGACATTTATTCTAAAGTAAATGTTACACTGTTTTCCTTTCCACAAGTGTTCTTAATTAGTGAGATTTTGGTCAGTCAACAGGATTGATCAGTCAGTCAGACTACAGAACCGAAGAATTCTGTAGCCTGATAGAATTCTCAAAAAAGAGGTTAGTTAAGAACAAACACTCTGGAACTTTATTTGGACCAGGAAGAGTCCATGATGAGGATTGAATGTGATGTTTTCCACCTCTACTTCCACCTGGAGGTAAACACAGGGCAGCCTCATGAATCTGTAGGGCAAGAGGAAAGCTGGACTCAGGGAGGCAAACAACACACATAAAGTGCAAAAATTCAGGAGATGTTCATTCTCAGTATTATGCAAGTGAAATTTTTTACTTTTACCCTCTTAGCCTCTGTCCTGCTGATTTGGGGAACTTATAGAAGGTCCCTTGCAGTGATTTCCCACAGGAAGCTGTCCTAGTCCATCTCTAGGTTAACATGAGGTTTAGGTTAACTAACATGAGGTTTAGGTTTAAGAAGAGACACATGTAAATGCAAGTTATAAATATTCACTCAGCAATTGGCATGAACTAGGTGTGGGACTGTGCCTGGTGTCAAGGAGAGAAACAAGGAATGCCTGGTCCCCTGGGATCTCTCATTAGGCCTTCATGTTCAACAATATTTCCCTAATGATGTCACATAGCCCATTGTGTAAAGGAGTATTTAGTGGGAATTAAACCACAATAATTGAACTCACTTAAATATGTTCAAGAGACAGTATGTCCAGGGTTTAAAAACACAGATGCTGGAGAAGTCCTTAAACTTACTAGCATTGTGACCCAGGGCAAGTTATTTTACCACTTTGAATAATAGGGATATTAATAGTAACTATTTAGTAGGGTTGTCAAGAGGATTACATAAGTTAGTATAAACAAAAAGCCTAGAATAGTGCCTATAGTAAGCACTTATTAGTTTTCATTAACTAAAATGTGTGGGATCAAGAATGAGGCATATTCTGAGGAGTCTGAAAATAGATAATCTAGCAGCTGACCAGATCTTTGTATATTAGAAAATTTATGTCATTCTTCTCCTGGATGATTGGGCTCCTAATTGCTTACTAGAGGATTTTAAGAGTAAGGATTGTCTTTGGTTCATATTTGCATCCCTAAAACACTCCAGTGCCTAGCCAACTCAGTAGTTAGAAAACTGAATGGTTATTGAATGGAGGAGAGGAAATCTGACCATCATTACTAATTATGTGAATTCTAATTGAATGAATTGTCTCTGCAAAAGAAATATTATAAAATTAATGATATTATATATTCAAATATTTAATGTACTAAAATATTATGTATTTTTTTAAATCCATATTAAAACCTCTTTTTACCTGGGGAGGAAATTAAGTACACCTTTGCCTAGAAAAAGGGAGTCATGTTTCATAGGTGTGTTTTATTTTATTTTATCTATTATTTTTTGAGAGGTGGGGAAAGGGGCAGAGGGAGAGGAGGAGAGAGAATCTTAAGCAGGTTTCATGTCCAGCATGGAACAGGACACCAGGGTTCAATCTCACTGACTTGAGCCAAAACCGAGAGTTGGACACTTAACCGATTGAGCCACTCAAGCACCCCCCATAAGTGTGTTTTAAAGAAAGCAAAGAAATGACTGAACTAGTTCATATCAACAAATAATTATTTAGTTCCTACCATTATTCAACAAGTAGTTGTTTTTTTTGGAAAAAAATCAAACCCTTTAAACTTGAAAGAAAATAAAGCAAGTCTGCATTACTCTAACTTCTAACCATAATGGCATACTATATTATAATTTATAGCACCTTGTTTTAAGCATTTTCCACTAAGGTCCCTTAGAAACTGGTAATAGACAAGTAAATTGGCCCAAGTTAAAATTTAGGAAAATTGAAGCTCAAGAATGATAACAATTTGGAGTGTCAGTCAGTTAAGCATATAACTTTGGCTCAGGTCATGATCTTGCAGTTCGATTTCTAAGTTCAAGACCTACATCAGTTTCTGTGCTATTAGTAGAAATCCTCTCTCTTTGCCCCTTCCTTACTCTCTCACTCTCGCTCTCTCAGAAATAAACAAACATTAAAAATGATAATAATTTGATCAAATTTGCATTACAAAGCTAGAAAGGAGACAATCTCTAAGTTTCTTAACAAATAAGAACCCCTAATACATTTTTGACAAAGACTTTAAAAACTAGCCTTTTTTCTCCTGGGTTTCAGCACCAGCAAATAAATAAATAAATAAATAAATAAATAAATAAATAAATAGACTAGCCTTTTTAAGCTTTATTTGAAATTATCATTTCCCACAATTTTATATATTAATGGTATAAGGGTTCTTACAAAACAGGTGAATACATAGTCGGGATGACAAACAATGAACACAGTACCTGCCTTTAGAGTCTGTGCTACTCTCTCCTTGACATGCCTGTGTTAACGGGTCATGTGTTCTTCTTTTTTTTTTTTTTTTTACAAATAGTTTATTGTCAAATTGGTTTCCATATAACACCCAGTGCTCATCCCCACAAGTGCCCTCCTCCATGCCCATCTCCCCCCTCTCCCCCACATCCATCAGTCCTCAGTTTGTTTCTCAGTATTCAAAAGTCTCTCATGGTTTGCCTCTCTCCCTTTCCCCCACCATTTCCCCCCTTCTTCTCTCCCATGGTCCTCAGTTAAATTCCTCCTAATCCTCCTATACGTGCA